CTCTCTCTCTCTCTCTCTCTCTCTCTCTCTCTCTCTCTCTCTCTCTCTCTCTCTCTCTCTCAGTTGCCTGGGCTTCATGTTACCGATCTGCTCCCTCAGCCTCCCAGAGTGCTGGAATTATAGGAGAGTACACCACACTCACCTCCTTTTTCTTCATCATGTCACAGTTTTTTAAAACGTACTTTTTTCGGTTTATTTTGAATGATTATGTGCCCTGCACTGTTTATGTATTTCACTTTCTTAATTTCTCTGTAAAGACATTTTGACACTTGCAGACTGAATGCTGAAATTAATTCTATACTGAAGAATTTAAGAAAGAGAAGCTCTTTGTTCTTTTGAATATTTTCCTTCACGTAAACTGTGAAGCAAGAATCATAGGTCAAATGATAGGAATATTTTCATGGCTCTTCATATATGTTGCCAACTTTTTTTCCATCAAAACAAGCCAGTTTGAACCACTATAATTCATTCATTTGTGAGCAAGAGATTTATGATTGTACCAGTTTTTTCCAGCTGTATCTGCTTTAGAATTTATCAGTTTTTGAATTAATGCTTGTTCAAAGCTACAAGATTAGAGCTGGCAAGATAGCTCAGCGGTCTAAAGCACCTGCTTAGGCAAGCTTAGGCAATCACAGGGCCTCCTATACCACATGCTGCACCAGTCCCGCCCCCAGGGTGGGCTGAGCCAGCCATAAAAAAAAAAAAGCTACAAAACTGTCATGAGTGTCTTCATAGGTTTATTGTATCAGTGTCACCACTGAAGCATAGTTGCCAGGGTCTCCAAGTAGTTGACTGTCTTACTCTTAACATCCTCTAGAAAGTTATACATTGTTTTAAGACTATTGTTTCATCAAAAAAGATTAAAACAACAAAACAAAACTAATACAATGAGGCCAAATATGAGATTAGTCATGCAAGTTTACAGACACACTAAAACAAGCAAAGATCCTCCTTAGCACAACTCTTCAAGCCGCCTCTACCACCAGTCTGCTTTTGAAAGGACAAAGGGCCTCTTCCACATTAGCACGTCCTCATGGATGAGCCGAACACCTCCAGCCTGAAATGTGGTCTGAACTTGCAAGGAAGAGCTGCTAGCACCTTAGACTTAACTCTTAGTGCAGGATGATGAAAGAAGACAATCAATAGCCGATATCCTCTCAAGTGAATGTTAGCTAGGGCAATATGTCCTACGCTCAACTTCCAGGAGTTAGGCATTTCACTAAGACAGACACCTTACTAATACAGGCATGCAAAGCACACCAGTGCCACTTCCTGTCTCCACATCTGTAGGCTGTGGGAAAGTGGTTGGTCTGTGACCTCCCTTGTTTGCCTAATGGATGATAGACACTGACTGTTTCCTCATTTCTTAGAATCCTAACACAACTAACACTTACAAATAAAAGATCTTGTGAAGACCTGAGAGTGTTTCAGGAAGCCTTTTTTTTTGGATTGAACTCAGGCCCTTGCACTTGCCAGGGATGGGCTTATTCTACTGAACCATTTCCCCAGCCCCTCAGGAAGCCTTTTACAAGTACCTAAAAGAACTCTCTGTGATGGTGGAACTGTTGATTGTGGTAACCACTGGCCCCGATGGCTGTTAAGTGCTAAAATATGGCTGCTGCAATGGAGGAACTGAATTTATAATTTATTTAACTTGAAGTGTTTCAAATTTAAATATGAAATGTGGCTAGTGGCTATTGTATAATTCAAGTCTAGGCCAAAATGGTCTCTTTCAGGGGCGTTACATTAGTTATTGATTATTCTATGACAAATTATTATGTCAGTTTGGAGGATCAAGAGCCTGGAATTGGCTTAGTTTTGCCCCAGGGTCTCTTAGAAAGCACTGATCAGGCTGCCAGCCAGGCTGCATCTTCTTAAACCTTAACTGGAACTAGAAGTTCTGCTTCTAAGCAGGGTCACTCACGTGGCCATTGGCAGGGACCTTTTTCCCTGACCTTGGGTGGAAGCCTTAGTTCCTCAACACAAGAGCCTTTCCTGAGTAAAACTTGACAGTGTTGAAGACTTGGCAGCTGCATCCAGAGCGAATGAGCTGACAGGGAAGAGGAGGTGAGCCAGGGACCAAGATGGAGGTTGGTGTTTTTAGTAGTCTAGTCCTAAGAGTGGTATACCACCCTGCCACCATTTGTCACAAAGGCCAATCCTGTGACAACACAGGAATGTCGGCATTGAGGTGGCACCTGTGAAGGCTGCCACAGGTATGTCACATGTCCATTTGAGCTAGTCATCAAAGGACAACCAACCGGCTTCTTCCACTATATTGATTCTCTTTCTATTATTCTAATACACTGTTTCTTTGGTCTGAATTTATTCATTTTTAAAAAAAATTTTTGTACCAGGAAACAAACTCAGGAATTTGCACTTGCCAGACTTTTTTCTTTTAAAGGCCAACGTACAGAGCCATGGGCCTTGTCCTGTGAATATTCCGGGGTAGCATCCTCCCTGTGTTGGGCAGTGAGGCTGAGCAAAATCCCGAGCTGTCCCTATCCAGGAAGTGCAACGGAGGCACTCACCTTTCATTCCATGCCAGAGTTGAGGGAGCCCTGTGCTTTGTTTCAGCGAGCAGTGCATCGAAGCCTACGAGCTCCTCCTGGCACTGGCTGAGAGTGAGCAGAGCCTCATCCTGGGGCAGTTCCGAGCTGCCGGCGTGGGCTCCTCCCCTGGTGAGTGTCCTGAGTCCCTCTGTTCTTCCCCATCGCATTCCCTAGCCTCTCATGCTTTGCCACCCCCTTCTCAGCTGCTGGCATTGAGTCATTTCTCAGCAACATGAAATTCATTTGTCAAGTGTGTTTTTTCATTTTTCCTCATGACTGAGTGGGTAAATTGTTTATGTTGAATGCAGCAGTAACTGAAGTGGAAACAGAATTACAGACAAGTTAAAACAAACACGCCTTCTTAGGACACATATTCTCTTGGGCTGGCAGGAGGACCAGATGGAGTGGGAGGTCCACAGTAGGATAAAGGGGACGAACCCACTGGAACACTGCTTTCTTAGATCCATTCTTGGCCTTTAGCTTGTCTTGTTTCTTTCATTTCTATGTGTTCTCCAAGTCTGTTTCTCTGAGTATTTTTGGAGCATGGATTCCTACCTCCACTGTTGGTATTTTAATGAATGAAGAAATAGCTTCACACCCTTCATGGATTGCTCACCCTCTGGTCCCAGCCACAGTACAGCAAGGAGCTCTACCATCCTTCTTCCTCCAGACTACCTTCCCTGTCCCTATGCCAGGGCTTAGGCTCCTGTGGGCCTGATTTGTATCTGTGGATCCACACTGCTCCCCTCTCCACTCCCACTCCTCAAATTTGAGTGCTTAGAAGGGGTATTTAACTAAAAAGTAGTGCAGCATGGGCTCTTTGGCTAAGCATCATTTGCTGAACAGCAGGTAGTGATAGTGGCTCTGAGGCCTTCAGCGACCAGAAGATGGCTGGAGAGACAGTGCTGGGGAGGTGGCCTTGAGAGGAGTTGTCACCCTCACTGTGTGATCTCACCTGTGTATCAGCACTTTTTAGAGATGCAATGTCAAGGTACCAAGCTGAAATAACAACTCCTCAGCCAGAGGTGGGTGGTATGGGCAGACCAGGTGTGCCCATTGTTGTGGACTGGCTTTGAGCTGCATGTTCCCATGAGGGCTAATACGTCTAGGATACACCTCACAAGGTCACCACCCCAGACCTACCTGAATGACTCGCCTGTCCTGCTCCTTCTCCCTGGCAGCGTGTAGATTTCACTCTGAACATTCACATGTTCGTCCTCCTGTGGCTATGGTATGCACAGGAATCTGAATCAGATCTGGAGGAAAGAAAACAAGCTGGGCATTAATTTCTGGCCTCATACCCAAGTTATCCAGCAAAGCAGCCAAGCTTTATTTACATGGGTGACTATCTTTGACTTCTCTCTCTCTCTTCTAATAACATTACCACTCCAGTCCAGAGGTGGAAACTGTGCCCGCATTTCCATTAGAAATCTCATTTTTGAGGCTCTTTTAACTGAGCCATAAAATTTTATTCCTTATGTGAAATAGAACCTAAATGATCCTGGCCAGCTGATTTATTGATTAGTAGATAGATAGATAGATAGATAGATAGATAGATAGATAGATAGATAATTAAAGGAAAAAAAATCATCTGTCAGGTTTTTGTCAGAAGAATGTAACCTGTTCCATCTCAAAGGGACCTTTTTGGGCTTCTATCTACTCATACCCATGTCTTGGTAGGAGCTGAAAACTTAAGTAAATGTTCACTTAAAATAAAAAATGAATTGGCTTGTATTTACTTAATACTGAGTATTAAGTATGTATATATTTATGCAATGAGCCATCCAGTAATATCATCCCTACTTCAGAATTTAAATAGCAGTCAATTGGTGAGATGTATGTAAAATATCTCTGTGGAAACAAGGTATGAAGGTTGTCAGAGAAGTGGCAGGAGGCAAGTCTAGGGAATCTTGGCCTACAGCATGTACCTTCCCTAATTTCTTCTTCACCCTTCATGATACTGAGTGTTGCCTTCATTAGTGGCAGCCTCCCAGTAAATCTCACTCTTCCGTTCTACTGACAGCAGCGGTGGATCTGTCGTTCTGTATAAGAACTAGTGTGTGACATTATCCACAGTAACTATTATTGTGGTTATTTTGTTTCTTGTTGACTTTCTAGACATTCATTGTGTTCATTCAAGATGATCCAGCTTTTTAAAGAGGGCTGTTAGGAGCTGAAAGGTTTTCTTTGGGCCTCAGGATAGATTTGAAGGGTGAGGGGCTGTATGAACCCCACCTCTCCCATTTTACCCAGTTCCAAAGTTACTACTTTGTAAGGCTCAGCACATAGAATTTAAGATTTCATTTGAAAATATTTGCAGAGCATAGACTATGCCACACAGGTCGCAAATTCTTTTGGCTAGCAGTTTGGATTATGTTTTTTAAGATTTGATGTATTTAGAGCAGTTTATGATTCTCAACAACATTGAGGTAAAAGTAGAGCTACCCCATATGCCTCTTGCCCCTGCATAGGCACAGCCTCGCCCATATCACTGCCAACCCTAGGGTGATATGTTTATTAAGAATAATGACCCTGCACTGACACATCCTTATCATCCAGAGACTGCAGTTCACATTTGCCCCACTTTTGGTGGTGTTCATCTCCAAAACATGGGCTTGGATAAGTATGTAATGATATGTATGGACCATTATGGGATAATACAAAGTAGTTTTGCTGGCCTAAAATCTTCCATGCTCCAACTATTCTCTCTCCCCTTTCCCTTCCCCACTCTTTGAATTCTTGGCAACTACTGTTTTTTTTTTTTTTTTTTAGTGTCTCCATAGTTTTGCCTTTTCCAACACAGTGCTAAAACACAAGAACATGCACATTTTTGGCAGGAACTTGACTATCTGGCTCTGTACCGGTATCATCCTGCCCCTGTGTCCTGCGTGCTCTAGCCAAGTCACCTCTCTCCAAGAGACATCTGTGTTGGCCACCATTTTGAAGTCAAGAGGGCTAGCTATTGCATTGGAGCAGAAATTGCAGAGCTAGTCTGCAGTTCTCATTTGAACCCTTAGTTTTGCCTTTTTCTCCTTTCCCTATGTAAAGCTCTAGCCAAAGTTGGCATGTGGAGAGATGGTCTTTTCACCTCAGTTTTTCACTGTCTTTACTCACCACATGCCAGTGAACAGACAGGCCCAAGAGTAGGAGAAGCCAAGAGCCCAGCAAACTACAAAGTCAGCATGTGAAAACTAGAAACTTTTCTGCCCATCTGCCCAAAAGGACATCAGAGCCCTAGGCAGAGAAATGCCTTCCCAGCTACAGCCTTTGAGTGGCACAGTCAGGCCCACAACACAGGTCTCCTCACTGCTGGTTGTTGCCCACTGTGTTACTTCTGCCCTTAGTGACCAAGAAGGGATTGTGCAACTATACTCCCAGCTTTACCTTACCCATGCCTTTTCTGATTAATCCATTGGCTTCTTTGCAACATAGGAGACCAGTCAGGGGATGAAAACATCACACAGATGCTCAAGCGGGCCCATGACTGCCGGAAGACAGCTGAGAACGCTGCCAAGGCCCTGCTCATGAAGTTGGATGGCAGCTGTGGGGGAGCATTCGCCGTGGCCGGCTGCACTGTGCAGCCCTGGGAGAGCCTGTCCTCCAACAGCCACACCAGGTAGCACAGCCTCTGCGCCTGGAGGGACCAGTCCCCTCCCCAGCCCTGGGGGGCAGTGGTGTGCTGTTTGGGACCGTGTGGTGTAGGTAAAAATAAATACGCTGCAGGCTTGTAGCCAGCTCCATCCAAGGAGTCAGGAAACAAAGCAGGGAACTGGAAAGTGACCCATTTGGCTCAGTGGAAACTGCAGTCCAGAGGGAAAGGGTGAGTTGCTCTAAAGTGGTAGGGAGGGAGCAAAACCCCAGGCATACCTTACTGTCTGGTACTCTTTCCCCAAACTATGTGCTCGCCATTTCTTTGTAATTCTTCATTTCAGGAAGCACTTAGATATCTGAGGCTCACTGGCCACACAGGTTCCTGAGCTCCCTGGACCCAGCCCACCTGTTCTTTACTCTCACCTCCTATTGGCCTTCTGTCCTTCTTAAGGCCTTCCCAGGCAAGAGCCTCTCCTCTCGCGTTTTTATTTTCTTGTTGAGTGATGCCACTTTCACAGCTCTGCTTACCAAGTACTTAATCATGAACTGGAGGTCATGTTCAGTCTGTGAAGCTAGACAATTAAAGAGGGTGCTTGAAAAAGATGATGAGAGCCATCAAGACCTTGCAAAGCAGTCTATTGAAACTGATCATTTTAGACGGGGCAGTTAGACTGAAGCCTCTTCCAGTTATTGTTTCATTTTTTGCATCTGAAGCACTGCATACATGAATGTCTTCCCTTCCTATATCAGTTTTCAGTCTAGAAGTCCTTTGTTACGGGTTCTCATGGAATTTGTCCATTGTGAAAGACAAAAAGACGACTTACCATGTCCCCCCGGCAGGGTCCAGCCATCTGCTTCCGCGCATCCATTTACCTGTCTTGGACTCCGTGTCCCACGAGAGGGTAGGAGGTTCCTAATACCACAGTTGGCCACGTGCCCACAAACACAAGGGAGGTATTTCCTCTTGACTGCAGCAACAATTGTCTTGTTCAGTCAAACAGATTACAATTTATTTTTTTAAAACCAAATTCTTCTGTTTAAATGCAGAAAGCAGATGCTCCTTGTGATGGCTTATCCAGATGTGAATAATACGTTCCTGTAGGTAGTGAGGGAATACTCATGCTGTCGGTGATACCATTCTGTTGAGTACAATTCAGTGAATGTAAGAATCGGGTCCATAGGAAATGTGTGCTTTTTCAGTAGCTTATGAGATTTGCATTAAAGATGATTTGCGTATGCCTTTCAACCTTCAAAAGTAATTTTGCTGTTTTAATCTGGATCAGCAGCAACTTTGGAGTTGATCAGGAGTTAAGACAGTTTGCCCTCTGTATTAGTGGAGATTCTGGATTTAAATATTGGTTAGAGAGGTAAATATGTGGTTGACATACAGCTGTGCCTTGATTATGAGAAAATTGAGAAATTTAATTTTGGGTGATATATTTCCACAGGTTGAGATACATTCAGAACATTAAATTTGTATATCAGTGATGCCCTCAATAAAGAATAGGCCTTTAATTTCAGTCTCATATGGTTCTTGCATTAAAAGTTGTTTAGCTTAGTTTTTTGGTCTTTTTCAAGCGAGTCTTGCTATGCAGTACAAGCTGGCCTTGAGCTCACTTTGTAGCCCAGGCTGGTCTAAAACTTGCAATGATTCTCCTGCCTTGACCTTTCCGAGTGCTGAGGTACAGGCATGTACCAGCACACTGGTTAGCTTAGTTCTGAGTCTACTCCAACCTCTGAAAACTTACTTTCCTTTCCTCCCTGCAGCAGAGCAACTCCAATAGGCATAGAATGCGCATGGCATTCATGCGGCCCTCCACATTCACCAGACCTGATACAATTACACTACTGCAGATAAACATGGTTCCCAACCACCAGACCCCTTTCACAATTACAATAATCACAGTAATTTTGCATGTAAGTCTTACCATCCTGACTCAAACATCCCCCCATATCAATTTATACCAAAAGAAAAAAAAAAAAAGGAACTTTCTGTGTTGGTATTTTTTGTGACACAATAAATCGCCCTTCTACTCACTATAACCACCTGGCATGGAGAATTCTAATCAGAGTGTCCTGTTCCTCAAATTCTCAGGAGGGGAAAGCTGTGTCTCAGCCTTCCAGGGGCATTTCTCCCACGTGCAGACCGTGAGCTGTGTGCAAAGGTGTTGTGAGCCTATCCAACAGATGGTGAGATTGTTGCTTCCTGGCTACTCACAGTGGAGCATGTTGTCCCAGTTGAAATGGGGGTGGTGGAACTCCAGTGGTGCCTGGTGTTTACTCTCTAAACCAATCTGAATTAAAATCAAATTTCACTGCCTGCTTAGGAAGATGCAGGGACCTGCGTGCTGTATCAGCCCCGCTACAAGGGCGTGCTGAGATGGCAATTGAGACTGGCCATGGTGGTGCATGCCTGTAATCCCAGCGCTTGGGAGGCTGAAAACAGGAGGAGCACTATGAGTCCAATCTGTGTAGTGAGACCCTGTAGACCCTGTAATTAAATACATTAAAAAAAAAAAAAAAAAGACCAAATTTCATGAGCCAGAAAGAACCACTGCGGGCTGTGGAATAGTGTCCATTGAAATGATACAGGGCTTGAAGTATCCATTCAGTTAGGGAAGGCCTCTGCCACCACCACCAGCAGGCTTCAGGAAATGAGAGTCAGACTACATTCGGCTGTTTCAGCAGTCATCTTTACCGGAAAAGAGAATGTGCCTTCCCCTCCAAGGACCAGGAGAGTCCATCAAGGTCCTGGTGATCGACGCCTACTAGGGTTTTTGTGCCCAGCATCCAGCTGAGATCGCTGCTTCTGTGCAGCGGCATGGGGTCAGCCTTCCTGCTCACATGTTCTTGCCACTTTTTTTAGGTTCTGAGAATATGACAGAAACATGAAATCCTTTTAATGTCAATTTTTAAGACCTGATTTCCTGATCTCAAAAGAATTATATGCTCATTTTGAAAAGAAGCAGGCTGGGTGTGGTAGTATATATCTGTAATCTCAGCATTCTGAGAAGAACACAAGTTTGAGCCCAGCCTGGGCAATATTGCGATTTAACAATACCGTCTCAAAATTTAAAAAATTAAAAAGGATGAGGAGGTAGCTCTTTCCAAAGGCCATGGGTTCAATCCTTTGTAGGCAGGCAGCAAACAGGCAAAATAGAAAAAAAAAAAAAAAAAAAAAAAAGCAGCAAAATTCCCAGCATTTCAAAATGCGTGGTTTACAAAGAATTCTTTCTGCTAGGACCTACCTGCATTGGAAAGGAGAGGGGAACAATGGCCCATAGATCAATTGCAGTTTTTATTAATACCTAGATTGCATAGGACAGAAACATGCTACAGTAGTTAAGTACAAAGGCCTTCTTGGAAGGTCATGTGGTTTTGTATGCATATGCGACATAGCCAGGCCGAAGGCCAGAGTTGGAGGCCCACAACATGCTGAGCAAAGCTGGCTGGTGCACCCAGCTGTGGCAGGTTCCCCATCCAGCCTGTGTAGCCTTGCACGTGGCTGCACTGTCTTCCAGCAGCAGAGTGCTCCCCCCAGGGACGCCGCCAGCACAGCACCTGCATTTGTGCACACACTGACGGTAATTCCAGAGGCATGGCAGGGAGAGCCATGGCGGTCCCAACAGGAGCCACATGAGTGATGAACAAAAGGGGACCTATTCCCAGTGGAAGAGTTTGGAAGCCAGGATCTCGGCTGGGGAGATGGCTCAGTAGAATAAGCGCTTCCCTGGCAAGCGCAAGGGCCTGAGTTCAATTCCCAGTTCTGCAAAAAAAAAAAAAAAATGTCCTTGGAAGCCAGGATCTCAAGGACTGTAACATGGCGTCTTTAAAAACACACTGTCTCTGAAAACATGATGGCTACTAATTCTTAACCTCCTGAGTATCCTGTCATATGGACTCTCTTGAGCAGTGTTTTCCCTTTACATCCTATTATTGAGCAGCATCCCATATTCTTCTCAGTAGTTGCACCATTTTCTGTTGGATGGCAATACTATTGTGTGTTTAAATAGTTTCTTCTCTTAATTTTTTATCCAGTTTTCCACTGCTATAGTATTGCTGTGACTACTGTCCCTAATATGTGTCCTTCTTGTGCAGTTTCTGTGGGACAGATTCTAAGAATCAGCTGGCTCAAAAGAGATTTGTTTCCAATGGCAAAAACTCTCTCTATATCATTCAGTTATTCTCCTACAGCTGTGTAGCTACGGAGCCTCTCTGTCTAAACCTTTACTGACATGAGGTATTAGAATGCACTTTCTTTTCAATTTGGCTGTCCTGTGGTTGGCTGTCCTGTGGTTGTCAGCTGAGATAGCGTCTATCTTAGTTTGTCATCAGTGACCAAATCAGGGATGAGTTAGGATTGTTTAGAGTGCCTAGTTTCCATAACAGTGTGATGGCACCTTTAGGAATGACTGTGTATGTAGAATTTGTCTCCTAAATATCTCTGTTTCTTATTTTGACTTCTCCTTCAGCTAAATTCCTAGGAGCTTTCTGGACCTAGGCAGCTTCTGAGGACTTTATCTGACTGTAGATTTTCTTGTACTCATATGTTGTGAGAGTCTGTTAGGTAATTTACCCTCATCTTCCATTTCTCCTGGATATGTCTGACAATCATTCAAGAATGTACAGGCCTTAGAGATATGATGTTTGTTTAGTGTTTTAGTTTGCTTCAAAACTCTTTCATTGTCAGAAAGAGTGTGGGGTTACCCTTAAGTGCCATCTCTCACCTGGACGGAGCCCTCCTCCACGTCAGTTCCACATGTTCAACAAAACAGACACTCTCGCCTTTAGCAACCCCCCCCCCTTATAAAAATGAGTTCAGGACCAAGTAAGATACTGCTAGAAACTATAAGAAAATGCTGTAAAAGATGTTTTGGGCAAAGGAAGGGAAATGCCCATCTAGCTTTTTGTCAGAGCAAGCTGAAGAAAATGAGTATTTCTGCTTATAAGCAGAATGGAAATCATCATGAGGCTGGTATTTGGACTTGATGTAGAGACACAGAGGAGATGGTGTTTCACATCAGT